GCTCGCTCCGCCCATCTGTTGACATTCGGGCTGAATGTCATTTTGCGGCGAGTTTTCGTCGGGTTCGGGTGGTCGTCGTGCGGCCGGACTTTTTTTATTTCAGCGGGGGTCGTGCATCGTGATTGACGTTGGATTACATCGATGGAGCCATATTTTTCTTAATTAGAGGAATAGTCAAAAATTAAATCTTTGTTTTTTTTTCAATTAAAGGATTTTATCTAAAAGTCTGGACTTTTTACTAACTATTTGATTTAAGCCTTTAGTGAATGTGCAATTACCCCTTACTCATTCACAAGGGGGGAGGGCGGCATCTGGGTGCCCCATTATTTAAAGGGGTACCCCGATGCAAATAAGCCCCCTTGCCCGCAGACCCCCACAACCACCGGGTCAGGGTTGTGAGGAAGAGGCCCTTGTCCCCATCGGCACGGAGACACCCTCCCAATGTCGAGGGCACGTGGCCTGACCCTGGGCCTGGGAGGGCCCGGGGGGGGGGGGGGCCCCCCGCTCCCCCCCCCCCCCTTTCCTGCCCTGCCGGGCCATTGCTCAGGTCAAGGGTCCGGTAGGACTGTTAGGGGCCCCACATTTTTTTCCCACATTTTTGGGGGCTGGGGTTCCCCCTTAAAATTCCTACCAGACCCAAAGGGTCTGGTAGGATTTTGGGGGGAACCCCACGCACTTTTTTTTTGTTTTAACTTGGGGGAGGGTCCCTCCTAACATTCCATCCAGACCTAAAGGGTCTGGTATGAATTGGGGGGGAACCCCACGCTTTTTTTTTTTTTCATCTTCTGCAGACTGTAAAAAAAAAATTCTAATGTCACTTTGTCACAAATGAAATTTCGACCGGACTACCGCTAACGAATTTCGGGAAATCGGTATTTCGGATTCGTTTGCATTTGTTTTAGCTGTAATTCGGAATTCGGATGCATCCGAAGCTCCGAAGATTCATCCGCATTTCGATTCGGAACGAAACGAATAGCACATGTCTACTGCCAAATAGTCTAGTTCTTCCCAGCCTGCCCCTAAGGTAAGAAAACACTTCTTACAGTGTATCATTATTATCTATATACACTGAGTGGCCAGATTATTATGACCACCCCATCAGTACTTCGTTGGGCCACCTCGTGACTCCACGAGATGATGAAAGGTGATGCGAGGAATCTGACACTGCACTGTTGCCCTTCTGTTGTCTTGTACCAGTCTTGCCCCTCCCCTGTTCTGCCCTAACATTGACTAGTCGCTGACGGCCACAATTCACACGTTCAGACCCAGATTTTCGGCTGACAGTCCGGTCTTTAAACACTTTAACAACAGCTGCTCTTGAACATTTAAGGAATTCTGCTGTTTTGCTGATACTCGCTCCATGGCCCCGAGCGCCAACAATCATCCCGCGTTCAAAGGCTGTTACATCGCGTTGTTTACCCGTATCTTTAGAAATAAATCACTTCTACTGTCGTGGTAAACAACCTGATTCCCTATTTATAATGGTCTGGCCCTCCAGCAACTTCAGCGCCAAATTATAGCTAATTATAGCTAATTTGCCTTCAAACCTCAGGTGGTCATAATAATCTGGCCACTCAGTGTAAATGTTTATTTAGGTTGGTTACAAAGGCAAAATCGTGGATATCAGCAAACATGGATATAATCACATTAGCATACAATTGATTCACAATGTAGACACGCCTCGACCTCGCCACCAGTGACATAAATGTGAAACACAAAATATAAAGGAGAAGATGTACATTGATTCAAATTTAACCCAACCTTTAATCTTAAGAACTAATCATTATAAACAGTGGTGGAACTACCAGGGTCGCAGAGGTCGCGGCCGCGACCGGGCCCTGGAGTTCGGCCACTTGGAGGGGGCCCAGGACAGGAGGAAGGGGCCACTGGTGACCGCTGATTACCAGTCCCGGGACTTCTTCCTCCCGTCCTGGGCCCTACATGCTTCACGCTGCTCCCCTCATCTTGTTCCGGGCGCAGCGTGAAGCATCATCCAGCCGGGCAGCAGCCAATGAGAGGGAGCGGTGTAATCCCCGCCCCCTCATCACACAGAACTGCCGCCGAGTGCCGAATAGAGCTGCTGCGGACACGAAGGGGGAGACAGGGAGCTGGAAGTATCAAGGAAGGTGACATGGGGTCCGGGAGCGGAACAATGGGGACATGAAGGGGGAGATAATGGGGAGATGAAAGAGGTCAGTGTTTTTTTTTCTTTCCTTGTCTAAATTTTGTTTAAAAAAAATAAAAATCTAATGTGTTTCTTCTTGGGGGGGCCCTTCATGGATTCTTGCATGGGGCCCTGAGGTCACTAGTTACGCCACTGATTATAAACAAGTCACTCTGGATAGTATATTGAGTACCTCACCTTAAATTTAAAGGTAGAGTTGTGAGCCCAGAACCCAAGTTGTGGATCAGTAGAAGCATCAAGCTCCGAGGACCTGCAACCCCATATATTGCCAGATGTTTGTTGACACCTGATCTCCATTCCTATATGATTAAATCCAAAGTCACCAGCGCCAATGGCTATCTTCATACAACTTCTAGTGGTCCAACAATTCTTCACAAATTCATTCAGCCACCTAAATTTCACCAGGCAAGTCTCCAGCATATAAAAGAGAAAAGGAACACACAAGGATGACGTCTTGTGTGTTGAGCTTGATGACCAGGCCATCCTGCCCCAAGACCCCTGAGTTGGAATATGGTGTTGGCCCCTCTTGGTAGCTAAAACTTCACTCTTCTAGGAAGGCTTTCCACAAGATTTTGGAGGGTTTGTGTGGGAATGTGTGCCCATTCAGCCAAAAGAGAATTTGTGAGGTCAGGTACTGATGTTGGACAGGAAGACCTGGCTCAGAATGGTTGTTCTATTTCAAAAATGGCCAAAGGTGTGCAATAGTTTTGAAGTTGGTGCTCTGTGTTGTCCACTTGAGTTCCTCAATGAATAGCAAATTGCTGCACTAAGAGTATAATAGTGATCTAAACAGTAGACTAGCTGCAACAATCTGTGATTGAGTAATCATAGACTGAACAGTTTTTTTGGACATATCGATGCCTTCTAAGAAAGGAAAGTAAATCCATGTTTTTCTCTCTTCCTTAGACTTTTTGTTGCGGTTATTTTGGACTTATATATTGGAGCAGAGGGATACTGTTATTGTGTCACCTCAGCTAACCACTTTCTGATGCACTTGTTTATTGTTATACCACTTATATGTTTTACACCAGTATAAGATTTGTAGCATTCTTGCATCAATTGGAGTGGAAGCACTGATTCGTATTATTGTATCCACATTCGCACACCTATTAGAAGATTTATATACAATTTGATTCCACATGTGTTTAGTTTTACAATTTAGGGTTTGTTGCACGGAGACATTGTCCATTTGACTTCACTCATGTTCACCTGTTGAGGTGATTTTCATTAGTTGATTTGTTCACATTCAGACTGAGCGCAACATATCAGCAGCACTACACTTAAGTTCCTCCACCCAAATTTACCCAACCGTGTCTTTATGGACAGGAACACAGTCATGCTGGAAAAGAAAAGGGCCTTCCGCCAACTGCTGTCACAACACGGTTGCAGGAGTACAATTCTCTAAAATGTTTTTGTATGTTGTGGCATTAAGAGCTTCCTTGGCTGGAACCATCTTAACTCAATACTTTGGACAGGTGTCTACATACTTTTGGCCATATAGTAAGTGTGATAGCCAGGTGTCCACAAACTTTTGAGCAGTCTGCACCTAAATTTCCATTTGTGGTTGTAGAAACATATAAGTCAGGGCTCGACAAATCCCAGACGCCATGTCGACTAGAAATTTCTTACTGGTACCTAGGCTTTTGTCAGCCCGTTTACTGTCCCCCGCCTCCACCTCCTCAGCTGCTGCATCAACTCTGCTTCTCCTGTGCTCCTCCCCGCTGCAAGCCCGCTTCGTGCTGCAGTCTGTGTCCCCTTCGATCCCCTCTGCTCTGCTCTCCCCTCCGGTATCAGCAGGGGCAGCAGGGATCAGTGGGGAAACAGTCCCCTGCAGCGAGTGCCCAGCAGGGAGGAGAGACCTCTGTAAAAAAAATGTAAAGTCCCCTGCGAAGGCGTGCATAATAACGGAAACACAAGTCGAGTGTTTTCAATTCAAAGCAAATTTGTCAAGCCCTGATATAGGTATATACCTTTAGCTAAGGTTAATTACAAACTTCCTTTTAAAAGTATTTAGTCGTATGAAAACTAAGCTGTAATCCCTTAGCAAACATAATAAAAACATCACGCCAATATATTTCCCTAATCTGTATATACCTAAAGGATAAGCCCTGAGCATGACCTAGTTATCTTTTGTTTAAACACAATGTCTGGGCCGACTGTAAATTGTACATAAAGAATATGTTCATTGTGAAAGGGAGATAAAGTCAAGCTAACATGCAAGATGTTATTTTTAAAGCAGACCTTCCATGAAAATTGAAGGTCCGCTCTATTGAAATCCCTTCCTTATAGTCAAACTGCCTGCAAAGGTGATTTAAAACAGTTGCTAAAAAAACAAAACAATACTTACCTTGACCCGGCTTCTGATGCTTCCAGGAGAGGCAGGTGATGTGAGTGTGCCGGGCCGCTGCCTCCTGGCATAGCTGGCTGCTCGAAATCCCAGGAAAGAAACTCCAGTCCATTGCATTGGCATAATATATTCTTGCAGGATTTCAAACACCCAGCTAGCAGCAGTTCGGGGTAGGTCTTATATTACAGAAATCCCTGAAGATAGCGCTATGTCTTATTTTCGGGGTAGCTACACATATAACTGAATTTTAAAATATCCGCCAACCTCGACACCGGGACCGGCAACAGCACGCCGCCTTCCGGGACCTCGTCCAGTCCTGTGAGTACTCCTCCCCCAGCCCGCTAAGACATCCCCCGAAATAAGTCCTAGTGTCTTTTTTCGTGCAAACACGGTACTAGTGTACTTCAGATCATGTTTTTTAGCAGGCACTAGAGAGACAAGCTGCTTAGCGGAATTTTTCTTTGAATTATTATTTTATGAATCTTGCCTTCCTCTTACTGAGCTTGGTTAGACTCTCTGCATAGGTACCTCACTGTCCACCTGCTAAGGACTCAAGCCTGCCTTGCAACTCTCCTTCTGTCTTTCCCTTGTTTTCTCACTATTCACTCACTAATGACTTCTGCTTACTCTGTGATCCTGATTTCATCTCATATGTGGTACCCTGCTGGCTATCTACCAGTGGCTCTGGTCTACCACGATCCTGCTGTTAAACCCAGGTTCTACTTCAACCCTTGATGGCGCTTTTTGCTGTATGTCAGCTGACTTCACCAACCATGTTTCAGATGAGTGCTCTATACTTGATGATGCCGCCTACTTACCTTCCTGGTTTCTCTCTGCTGAATCTATTCCAGTTCTAGTCTTTTTGAGCAACGTTTCCAGGTACTTGTACTCCTCCTGCACCTTAGTACCACCTGTTGTACTACCAGGGGTGCTTGGGCTGGAGAAGCAATAGAGACTGCCCTCCTCATTCCGGTCCCCTACCAGCTACATGACACTTGCTCTGGTAACAGCTGTAAAATGTTTAATTTCCCATCACTTTCTATCCCAGTGACAATGTTCACCGGTACAAACACGGTTTCCTGCTTTGTCATGACCCTTGATATCTATATATTGGTAATAGGGTCAGGCAAACACTCTATTTGGCATACTTTTCTCTATCTATTCCAGCACTAGCCAACTACTATTCCCACTAAAAAGCCAAGTGATAGTTTCAGCATCTTTGGATACATGCTTTACCATTGAAGAATCCAGATTCAAGAAAGTGATGCACTCAATTCTGCTTTTGCAAAATGGTGGAGACACAAGTTGCTGTACTGCAGGAAGGTGTTATCTTTGGAGTTTATGAGAGTTATAAACCTAAGATATCCCTTCAGGCTGCACCAGTCCTTTAATAGGCACCGTTGAGGAGGACATTAGAGCTTCCTTGCAATACATCCAGACAGCTGGAGGAACAATATAGTCTGTAGTGACTAATAGATTGTGAAACTCACACTCCCTTCTTCTCATAGACATATCTATCCTAAGGCTCATGCTGGTTTGTTTTGATACTGTAACTATCATGTGCATGTATGACAATCAGATTGTTGGATGGAATGTTTGTTGCTTCTGAGAAGGTGTGTCTTGTGAAATATGGACTGTTTCACATTCAGAAACTACATAAAGGGGTTCATGTATAAAAGCTCCATCCAGCGTATATATCCGGGCAGATGCCGTTTGTACGGCACTAGCAGCTCTAGATGGCGCTGACGAAGATAGGAATTTCCTGTATTCGTCAGCACCATCCCAGATAGCAAGGATAACTTGCCACAAACTTGTGTCAGGGTGAAATTGTAATTCTGTTAACTTGCTGCACACATTCCTGGCAAGTTGTAGACTTGCAGAACACTCGCAGCACAAGTTCTAGGCGACACTTTTTGAATTTGTAGCAAATTTGCTTGGCAAGTCTACAGCAAGAGTCCTGCAGGTCTTAGCAAGAGCTCTGCAAGCTCCCTGGTCTAGAGACTTGCAATGCAGACTTGCTGTAATTGTGCAACAAAATTGTGAAGCTTGGCAAGTTTGCAATAGTTTAGCAAGTCATTTTCAAACATGCAGCACAATTACTTGCTATCTGGCATCTAGGAGCACTAGTGCCAAAAGAACGGCATCAGCCTGGCATATGGGGGCTTTTATAAGTGCACCCCTAAGAATGCATCGTCAAGGAGGAGAGCTTAGCCCCCTCAGCTCAGGCAATGCTCCCCACCAGCAGTCTTTATGGAAGCATTTTCCATCTAACTCCAGGCTTATGCTTTATTTTACAAAGGTCCCTTAGCAGACTGTAATGCTTGCCTCCAATCCAGAGCTGTCCTCTTGCACTGCCTTTTCTCCACCACAGGATGTCCTTAGTCTGGAGGGTTGAATAACGCCCAACATCTCTCATTTCAAAATATTGAGCACGCACTGCGAGCGCAGAGCCCCATGGCCCTTATCCCTGATGCAGCATCACGCCAGCACACAGCTGGAGGACCAGCCAGGAGACAACTGACTTCCGATTCTCAAGCTGAGGGTATTTAGAAATAAAGTAACACAATTATTAAAGATTAACAGGGCTATTCACTAAAGAGTTTGGAGAAGTGCCCAGTCTAGGACAACATAGCTGAACTGGAAAGTGAGCTGAATTGGAGAATTTTTCCAAATCAGCTATGTTGTCCTAGATTGGGCACTTCTCCAAACTCTTCACCCTTTTGTGAATAACCTGTAGCTGCCCTTACTGACTTTATTTACCATTGTCTGTGAAGGTTCTCATTCATCCAGGTCATGGTATATCTGTAAAAAAATAAGTCAAGGCAACTGGATTTGCTGTATGTTTCTGAATTGAGAAAGCTGGTTGGATGACCAGTGAAACATCCTCAAGAAAAATACAGCAAGTCCAGTTGCCTTGACTTATTTTTTACAGATTTATTTACCATCATAATTGGAGATGTGACACATTGCAAATCATATGGGACCTCTACACCCCAATGGCATCCCAATGGCTCCGATTTATATGGTGTTATTATTTAAAAAAATTGCAGAGCCATTTGTACTTCGAAACTGCATTTCCATTCATTCTATGCGAATAGGGGCAAAACAAATGTTATGAGGCTAGGTTCTTTACACCATCCGGTCCGGTGCGATCAAAATGCTGCAAGCCAGTGTATTTTCGTTCCCGGTCAAATGTAATATCAGGAAAACACCACATTATTGCCACTAGGTGGGGCTGAGGAGCACAGGAAAGACGTATTTATTGCAGCTCCATCTACTGGCCATAATGTGGTGTTTTCCTGATTCGCTCTGATTTTATAAATGAATTGCATTCAATCTGGAAAGAAAATGTACTAATAACCTTCATTTTTGCCCCCATTTGCACAGAACATGTGTATATGCAGGACAAGTGGCTATGCAGTTTTTTTAAATAATTAGGTCCCTATGTGATGCAAATTAATAAAGATCATTAACTTACTAATCCAATAAAATCACGTTGGGTATGGCCTATTATTTGTCCACACTGAATAATGTCAGGAGATTAACGTCTGTTGCAACCACTGTGATTATGTTACGTTTCATTTCATTTCAAAGCCATCAGGAGGTTAATATGATGTCAATAAGTTGTTTAAGAAGTTATTTAAATAGAACTAGTCACATTTGGGGTTATGCAAGAGACTGAATTGATGATATTTGATTTATTTGCTGTGTGCTATTACTGTTGTAGGAGGTGAAAGGCATAGTCCATGTTTTATTCCATGTTTCATATTACACACATATTTAGGGTGTGACATGAAACATGGGGGGCTGATTTAAAGAATTTCCATATGCTGGGCCAATGCAGTTTGCTTTTCCACCACTAGATGAAGCTGAGGAGCACAAGACATGCCCCTATGCTTCTTGGCACCATCTAGTGGCGGGAATGTCGTGCAAAGAAGGTGCCACATTTGATAATCCACAGCCCAGCTTAAAGGAGAACTATGGGGTGAGTGCTTTTTACTCACCTCATAGTTCTAGCCGACCTGTGACAATGAGGCTGTCACAGGTCGGCTCAGTAGATCGGGAGGTGAGCGAACACATACCGGCGTTCGCTCACCTCTCGATCCTGTCACGACTCTCTGCCATGACAGAGGAGGGGCTGGATTCTCACCTCCCCGCTCCGATCCACCAGCGCTGACTGGCGGATCGGACGGGGGAGGGGGCGGGTACAGCTGGCTCTGCCTCTAGATAGGGAGAGCCAGCTGTCACTCACGCAGCTGGGTGGATCCCGGCACAATTGTCGGGATCCGCTTCAGCTGCGGCGTCTCAGTATACCGCGAGCAGCAGCTCGCGGTATACTGCGGCGTCTCAGTATACCGCGAGCTACAGCTACTCAGCCTAGGGTGACGGGAGGACGCTAGTTTGTGTCCTCCCGTTACCCTAAGGAGAACTATGGGGAAAAGCCTTAACCCCATTGTTCTCCTTTAAGACACATTTGGCTGACAAAGTTGGAAGGAATGCAGAGATAACGTAAACCTCCACTAGGAGGGTCTTCAAAGGACTTCTGAAGAGGCCGCAAATGGCCAGGTTGTAAACAGTCTGGTATGCAGTAGAAAGAAGTAGAACATACACCTCTAAAAATACACAGAAGAAAGAAATACACATCGGTCTGGTATAGTGACTAGGGATGCACCAATATCGATACTAATATCGGTATCGGTGCCGATGCTGATAATTTGGGCGAGTAATCGTACTCGCCCAAATGCTCAGATGCCTAGCCTGATACCCGATCTTGCAGTATCAGGAAGCCGAGCAGCGAGTCATTACAGCGTGTAATGACTCGCTGCCCAGTTTCCGGAGTGGTCGGAAAGCTGGCCAATCAGGAAGCTAGGCACCATGTAATGACATAACACCTGGCTCTCTGATTGGCTGGGAAGCCGGCTTCATGCTCCCTCATCTCCTTGTGACGAGGGAGCATGAAGCAGGCTTCATGGCCACTCAGGAAGCCGGGTGCCGGGTCATTACATTGCGCCCGGCTTCCTGTTTGGCTTGAAAGCTGGGTCCATGCTTCCTGCTCACCTGGTGACTAGGA